CGCGTCCGCATCCGAGATGCTGGCGATCTCACTCTACCTGCAGCAGCAACGTCGGGCGGCGGCAGCGGCGGCGGCGACGCCCGCAGCGAGCAACAGCCCAGTGGGCAGCTACATCCCATCGCCCAGCAGCGGGGGTCTGAGCGGGGCGATCGGGGGGGCGATCGTTGGCGGCGTCGCGTCGGCGGCGGCTACCGCCGCCAACGTCGCCACGGCAGCCGGGGCCGCCGGCGTGCGCGACCTGTCCTGGCAGGGGGCCGGGACGGCGCCGGCGGCCGGCTCAGCGGCGGCCGCCGGCGGGGCGTTATCGCCCGCCGTGTCCTCTCCCAGGGCCGGAGGACAGCAACAACAGCAGCCGCACGCAAGCGGTGCCCCGAACAGCGGCAGCGGCGGCGGTAGCGCTATCGCTTTGAACCCCTCCGCGCTCTTGGGCCGCGGGAGGGAGGCCGACGCCGCCTTTGCCTCCGCGCTAGAGGCTTACCAGCGTCGCGCTTCGGAGGACTCCGCCGCGGCGGCGGCAGGCTACGGCGGGAGAGGCGGCGGCGGCGCTGCTGCTTCCTCGCCCCCGGCGGCGAGGCTCGGCGCGCGCGCGGCCCTGCTGTACGCGGACGTCGCCGCCGCAGCTGCGGAGGATCTTGCGGATCGCGCCGGTCCGCGGAGCGGTCTTGCCGGTGCTGGGGAGGAGCTCCAGGTGCGGAATCGTGTTGATGTGTTTGTGTGTTTGTGTGTGCTTTGCGCCGATGGTCGGCATGCGTGCTGGCAGAGGGGCATGTTTGGTGGCAAGTTTTGGCTGTGTAGAGGCAAGAGAGAGGTAGACAGAGAGTGTCGGTTGTTGGCGTTGTTTGTTGGAGGAGGGGGGTGGTGTGAGGTGTGGTATGCATAGGTTGTCTGTTGTGGTGGAGAAAAAGAAAAAGTGCGTCTGTCGTGGCAACAGATGGAGGGTTGTGCACTGTCACCGTAGATGATGTCTGGAACCGGGGGACTCCGCAGATCGCTCATGCTCACACGGGGTGCAAACGGAACAAGATCCCGGCGGAGCACCCGGCATTAGTTTCCCACGCTTTTCGTCGGCAAGTGCTGTTGTACACCACTACAAAGGTGCTCGTTCGACCCTGTGGCCCTCGCTACCTAACCACCGGCACCACGCGTGATTGCACGGGCTGGTGTAGCCCAGACAGCAATCATACCTTGCGGCTCACTCACGACAGATCAGCACGCCCTTGACACCAAGCATTCGCAATGGTACCCCCCCCCCCCTGTCCAAAAAACTCTACAGGCACAAGCCGAGGAAGCTCTCCTCAACGCCTCCGTCTTGGAAACCCCGCTGTGCGCGGCGGTGCTGCTGGAGGTGTCCGCCAACCGCTGCCGGGAAGCCGGGCGGTTGAGACGCGCCGCCTTCCGACTCATTCAGGTGCCGGCTTTGGACGTTCAGCGTGTTGCTGCTGTGAGGGGGGCTTGTTTTTCGCGCCCCGTGGTTGCGGGTTCCCTCAGGCTGCGCGTAGAAGGCTTGTACGTAACACCAGGCTGTTTTTTTTGTCGAACGTGTTGGTGTTTGCCCAACGGCGCTAGGTGTAGATCAAGCATGAGAGTCAGGGTTGTGGCGTTGACCTTTTGGGTTTGCCGGGGGTCCCGTAGAGTCGAAGAAGCAGACGAGATGCTGAATCGAGGGTGGTAGATGGGAGGGGTATGGGGGTGATCCATCATGGGTGCTGGGGAGAGCTTTTGAAGGCGAACGTGTTTTGTGAATGTCCTGGCTCGGGAATCGGGAGGCTGTCGGCTTGGTGTGTTTCGAACTCTGGGGTATGGCCACCGGCGACAACAGGCGTGTTTGTGTGTCTTTCTATTAGCATCGACCGCGCTAACCGGCTGACCAATGAAATGGCGTCAGTCTCAGTGCGCGTGAAAACAGAAAATGCTTCTTAAGGCCAGTATTCGTACGTGTGTGCGTTCGCTCTCAGTATGCCCTGGAAATCGCGTTCTTGTGTGGGTGGTTTTATTATAGTAGCCCGACCCGGCGCGCTACGAGGCGCTAGCTGTGGTCTCACACACCCAAGAGAACGCCATTCCGCGTCGCCCCCTACCTCCTCTCTCTTCCTCCCAGTGCCTTTTCGGTGTCTTGTTATGCGCGCTGCTGACTCCACCAAACTTTTGAAATCCGGCCCCACAATGTGTCTGATCTGAACACGCTCGGCGTGTATGCATATTGCGTGCTCAGGCGGGCCACATGTACAAGACCTTCGCGAAGGACAGCGGAGAGGCCTACCGACAGCAGCAACAGCAGCAGCAGGGCGGCTCGGCGGCCGCGGCGATCTCGATTGCTTCGCCGAAGTTCGTGGGCATGCACGCCGCTCGTTGCTTCCTCGGGTCGCTGTCGGGGTACTCGGGCAGCGGCTGGCTCGCGGCGGAGGAATACGCCTGTACCGTGCTCCCAACTGAGGTTCGTGGACACACACCTGACAAGAACGTTCGTTTCTGTTGTGTGTTGTTGTGGTGTGTCGTCGTCGTCGTCGTCGTCGTTGTTGTTGTTGTTGTTGCTGTGCTCCCGTTGCAAACCGTTGCAGTCCTCTCCTCAGTACCTTCTAGTATCCGTGCTATTGAACGTGTTATAAGGTAGTTGAAGTAGTTAACACGCGGCGGGCGTTTGGCACCCACACTGCTGTACAAGTCTGAGCAAGCGCTGTATGTTTGTTTGGCGACACTGTCAACGAGGGTTGTGATGGACCGTCGAACCCGCGTGCCTTATTCCGCGTCATGGGACGTCACATCATGGGCACGCCGGGCCTGACGACGTCCCAACTAGTTGCGCCCTTACGGGAGAATATGCAGGGGTTTCATGTTCGTGCTCCCTTTATTGTACGGTAGCCTGTGGGAACGATTGGCGGAACCCGCTGGGGATAGTGGTAATTATGACTCCCCTTTCCGTACTGACTACCCCCCTCATAACCTCTTATAGCCAGCTGCTGCTGTGGTGTTGAAATGTTCGCTCGTACAGCAGTAGAGCCGCGAAAACTTGAGTCACAAGACGCGGAATTGATGGCAAGAGACGTAGCCGTGCATGGGTGTAGGCAAGTGCAAGGGCGTCTTATACTGTCATCGCCGCGTTTGACCTCGACTTGGGTGACTAGAGAACTGTCGCTCAGGCCGACTCTCTCCTGCCAAGGACCTGTTTGACGCGGCCTGCGCTCGCTCTACGCATAGGGTCATGCCCGTGGAATGAAATGAAAAGCGTTCCAAAGACACCATGGGTGCCTGAAAAGCAGGCGTAATTTTTTTTTTGTGATACGTGTATTGCAGCTCCGCGCTCTCCAGCGACCGGTAGCGGCCTTGCAGCTGTACGTCAGGCTCGTGTCGGCTGCGGGTGCGAGGAGAGAGGGCCGAAACGCGGCCATCGCAGGCGGCGGCAGCAGCGGCGCGCTGGCCGGGTCGTCGACACACTCTCAGCAGCAGCAGCAGCAGAAACGAGCGGCGAGGGAGGCTAGCTTGATGGTGACGTTCGAGGACCTCTGCTGGAGGTACCCCGACGCTGCGAGGGTCGCTGCTAGGTGAGAAGAAGCCGCGAACAGAGACAGACCGCCAAAGCGCGGGGTTGCTCTCCCCGATCTCGAAAGGCCATGGCCCACACAAGGATGTGCGACCGTTTTCTTGTCACCGCCCCTCATGGTTGGGCGTGTAGATGGGGCGTAGGTCTGGTGATACTTGCTGCTGGTGATACTTTTTTTATCGAAGAACCTTTCGCCTTGAAAAGGAGAAGGAAGCAATACCAACGGAACACGAGATGAACCAATGCTAACAGAACACGGAACCAATCTACATGAGTGAACACGGAATAAGACAATTGTATAAACGTAGCGGAATGAACCAATACAAACGGGACACGGAATGCCCGTCTATGAACGCCGACCAACCCAACAGGGCGTGGGAGAGGGGCCGCGAGACAAGCAAGCTGGACATGTCATTCTTCCCGATCACCGACCGGGCGAGAGGTCCTCCGCCTCCCTCGCGAAAAGCGCCTGCCGCAGCGCCAACAGCAACACCAAACTCGCCGCACAGCAACGCCGATCTCCTCGGAATAGACTTCGACAGCAGCGGCGAAGCCGAAGCCGAAGAAGAAGCTTCGGGGGATGGCGGCGGGTTGGGAGGGGGTCTCGTGACTGCGGGAGTCGGGGAAGGGGTAGTGTTCGAGGAGCTCGCGCTGCCGGGGGTGGTGCACGAGGAGACCCGCCCGGTGGACACAGAAAACGCCTCCGTCGAGGCATCCGTCAAGGTCGGTGGGCGAGTGGGATGATGGAGAAGGGCCTTAACCTTTTGCTGTGGTCGTTCTTGTCGTTTTCCCGCGGGGGAGGGGCTGAAGTGCCACGCCCGGTTCTCTATTGTAGGCGGTGGTGATTTTTGTTTTGGTGGCGGTGGTGATGAGCGCTGCCATTCTGTTTTGGGTTTGGTGATTGTGGTGACGTTCTGCTGTGGGGCAAGCTGCTGGCTTGCTCTCTCCCCATTGTTTTTCGAGCTTTGATACGAGTCCTCTCCCGCGTTTTGTCTCTAGTGCCATGGTGCAACCTCATTCGCCGACCCCGGTCGATCGCACCCGCGGTTTGCGTTCTCTAAAGTTATCCGCTGAGACGATTTTTCGATTGTACCCGTGTATGATGGCCACTTGCGCTTAAGAGTGGGGGGGTAGGCCCCCCATCTCCTCGAAGCATGAAGCATGTATTTTCCCGACGAAAGCAGAAAGAGTAGACTGCTTGACGTCGTCAGACAGCCAGACCCCGCTATAAGTGCTGCTGCTATTGTCTCTTGAACCAATCACACGCGCGCAACGTGTGGTGAGAGGTAACCGCTGGCGCGCACTGGCTCGAGGTACGGCAGGCGCCCTGATTGCGGAGCAAGCCGCCGCCGATCATTAGACCGCTGAAACATGGCTAGACCGCTAGACAGACCCCTTGTCAGCATTAGACTTGCTAAACCCCGCTATTGCCGCTGCTCAAGCACCACTAGACCGCTAGACCCATTGAAATTTACTAGACCGCGCTATCCTGCTGTGTCACCCACCTTTCACCAATCACACACGCGCATGCACGACGGGTAACACAGGTTACCGATGGCGCGAGCTGGGCTCAAGACATGGCCGACGCCCTGAAGGCCGAGCTAGCTGCGGCGGACGCCGTGAGGGCCGGGGAGGGGCCCTGGCTGACGCTCTCTGCGTCGTACGGGCACAAGGCCGGCACGCTGTCCTCCTCCTCTCGAGAACCCTCGTCCTCCAGGTAGGGAAGAGTGCCGCCGCCGCCCTGGTGGGGGTTTGGGAGCTTCTGTTGCCTTTGCGTGTCTGCTGAGGTTGTATTGCGTGGTCCCCAATACTACCAATAGATTGTACCCACACTTGGCTGCTCAAACACACCGCGCTGGGCATGTACACCAATCCTCCTCCTTACGTTGGTGGACCGACCGCAAACGCGACTCCTTCCCTTCCGTCTCGTCTCGAACAACAGCGCCAAGAAACCGTCCCACCTACCGCCGCCGCCGCGCTCCGCCCCCGTTGGAGAGCCGGTGACGGTGCTGGTGATGCTCGAGAACCTCCTCGCTGTACCGGTGACCGTGGAGGACTTGCAGCTGGTGCTCACCGCGCCCGCCGCCGCAGGCGAGGGGCAAGAGGAGGAGGAGGTCGCGTGCATGGCTCTCGACGAGGAGGAGTTCCAGAAAACGTGGGTTGGATCGATTGTGTATAGAGCGGGGGGATGGTAGGCATGTCTGTAGAGCCCCCTAGTCTCCGTGGGTGGTACCTTGAGACCGCCAAGTTTTTTTTTGAGAGTGGAAATTGAGGATAGGGAATCTAGTGGCTTTATGCGGAGTCCCAGACAAATCAGCTCTGAAAATGGTTGGTGCGAAGTTCGAGCGGACGGGGTTATCGGTTGTTTGCGGCTCGGTTGGCGCTTTGGTGCACCGCACCTCCTCTCAATCTGACTTTTGTAACTTGTTCCGGCCAGGACAGTGTAAGGCAGCGAATGATGATCGAGGAATCCCGGTAAGAGAGGAAGCGCCACTTCCCCGATGCTTGCACCCCGATTAAAAGGGTGCATACCCACTCTCAGAACGGCCTTGGTTCATGATAGGCAGGAGTGGTTACCCATGACCGTCGCCTGTCCCCCCCCCCCCCCCCCCCGAACGCCGATTTCAACAGGTACTCCCCCAAGCCTGCGACGGGCGAGGAGGCGCTGATGGACATGCTGGCGTCGTCCCCTCCCACACCGGCTACCGCTGCTGCGGCTGCCACTGATGCCACGGCGGCGGCGGTTGCGATCGAGCGGCGCCGCGCGACGGTCCCGCCGGGAGAGCGCCTGCCCGTGCTCCTCAAGTTCTGCGCGCTCCGTCCCGCCACCGCCGCGCTCACCGTCTCCTCCGTGCGGTGGACGGTTTTCCAGTGGAACGGAGGCAAGGAGGCCGGGGGGACGGGAGAGGCTTGTCCCCGTGTTTGGGTGTCGCACCGGTTGGAGGGCAGGGGGAAGCTTCTCCACGCCACGCTGGAGCAACGGGCCGCGAAGTGAGAGCAAGCACGGCTAGCCGTGGGAGTGAAATATCTGTTGGCTGTTGTTGTTGCCTTTCATCCGTTTGTTCTTTCCTTTCCCACGACCTTTGAAGCTTTTTCATTTCTTCAGATTTGCTATCATCGCAGTTGTGACATGCTCTCTCGCTTTTGACTCACTCACCTCCCCATCAGTCCTGCTTTCTGCTCCTGTGCTTTTCTATCGCAATCTCTTTTTCATTCTGAGTGTGGGTTCATTCCTGATTCCGACTGGTGGTTCTGATGGTAGCTGTGGATGAACGAAGGAGGGTGGGAAAGAGAGAAAGAGATGTGTTGTTCACATGCACCCGGAGACATGCTTCCGACAAGAATCCAGGTGTTGGAGGTACGTCGGAGCCAGAGTACCTGCAGGAACAGTGCGATAACATGTGGAGCACCGGCGGGCGTCCAGTGGACACACGTTTCCCCAACACAAAGGGACTTCATCTCCGAAGCTAGGGCCCAGTGCCGCACCACGTTCGATCTCTACACCATCGTCGGCACAAGCACCCGGCAATCCCACCGCCCCCAAGCGGGCTAGAGCGTTGTGGATTTTTTTTTTTTTTTTTTTGTCTTCACTTCAAATCAGCGCTCACAGCACTAGTGCCGTTTACTCCAACCCGTGGTCACACAGAAGAGCCCTATGCCGGGTGCTCGTGCCGCCGATGGGGAAGAGCGTGTACATTGGGTGGCACTGGGACCTACCCGCGGTGACGAAGTCCTTGTGCGGGAGCAAGACGTGTGTCCGCTGGATGCCGGTGTGCCGTGTCTAATCGCGCTGTTCCGGCAGGTACTCTGGCTCCGACGTACCGCCAACGCCACCTGTCGTTAAAGGGTGGGGGTCACGGAGAGGGTGCGCGGTTGAAAGGAGTAATCTCCCTACTTTGGAATCCACCCATTCTCTGGTCGATGGGGTGTACCGCAGTGCCCTTGTCCTACCGAACCAACCTCCTCCCGTCGGAGAGCAAGAAGACGAGAGGGACGAGACGGCTGCAGCGAGATTCCCTCTGACGCTGCGCTCCCTCCGACCTGCCGGGAACAGACAGCGGCGTTTGCGGTGGGGAAGGGAAGGCGGTGGCGGTGGGTGGCCTTCAAGATTCCGATGACGACTCCTCCGTAGACTCTGGTGACACGACGCCTAGCTTTAAGACGGGATATATTGCTGGGTCTGCGGAATCCCGACTTGAAGCATGGTGTGGTCGTCCTAGTAATCGGGGTCCTGTCATCGTCATCGGTTCTTCGAGGCCTCTCGCCGCCGCCGCTACCGCCGCCGCCGCTGTCCGGTCTCTGCAGGGAGCCCCGCAAGATTGCGCTGCAGCTGTCTCGCCTTCCTAGTTTCCCTCCTCCTCTTGTTCCTCTACAGACCCCATTGGTGGCCGGGATCACTCACACGAAGCTCTGGCCTGAGACAGCCTGCGTAGTTGCGAGATATGGAAGTGGGGGGTTACGGAGGAGACGATGGCTCTCGCACGAATAAAACGATATTCGTGAATGACACACATATTACAGCCTGACGAGATGAGACCCAACAGCATCGGCTCTTCGTCTACCAAGTTATTCCCACGTTTAGCAGTCTTTACCTCGGTCCCCGCAACCAAACCGCAATCATGCCATCGCACGTACGTAGTCACCCCACCCTCGCTGCTGCAGTGTCGGAAGGATCACGTATGATATACCGTAGGTGACATGACGTTAGATACCACACACCCTGACCCGATCTTCAAGGGTCAATTACTCCACGACGAAGAGGATGTACGAGTCAATCGATTCGCTATCGGAAAGCTTTCGACGAGAGGGTTCCATTGCCACCATTTTCACCACCGCCACTGTCTGTGCTGTGGAGAGCACTGGAGTTCTGAAAATCGGTCCTGCTGCGGAGTCATTGCTAGTTTATCCTGGGCTCGCTTTGTTAATATTACGAACATAAAAACAATAGGCCCAGGGGGTGTAATATCTCATGTCACGTTGTACGGTATGTCGCTAGCGATCTCCTTGCGACCCCCCCCCCTCCGCGCCTGGACAACGACAAATAGGGCTCGAGCGCCGGCTCCACCACCGCGGTTTGAGGCCACGGGATCGATGCCGTGGCTGGGCTGTTCGCTGGAAGGGGTTCCGCCGACGCTGTTGCAGGGGGAGGTGGTCCGGGCTACGCTCAACGTCACCAACAGGGGCAGGTGTGCAAATGAAGATTGATGCTGCCTGCTTGCGACATTGATTGAGTACACGCAGCGTTGTGATTCGTTCTCAGGAGCCTTTACTGCTGGTTTTTGTGCAGCCGTCGTGCATCGGCCGGGTTGATGTTGATGTTGCTGTTGCTCTTGATTGGGAGTGTGGTTTATCTCGTGGAAACGTGGGCTAGCTAAGACTAGGGAGGACTGCAACGCTCTTGCGCAAGAGGCGCCGCGTGAACGAACGAAGGAATGGGGGATTTGGGGCATCGTTGACACCAGGCACGGCATACGGGGAACGCTCTGCCCCTCCTCCAGCACTTGACGTCGTTGTTGCACGCCATCTTGCGCCTTGCGCCGCTGGCCTGGTCGGGGTGTCGGTACAAGAACCCTGCGTTGAGCCGCACTTGTTGACGTAGATGCCCGGGGTGCCTCCCGTTTTGCGGCGCTGAAACCGTTTCACCTTCGCCTCCCTCTTTCGCAACCGCCTGCACTGTGGGCGAAAACCCGATGTCTTCCTAGCAGCGAACCCCCCTGGTTTGCATGAGCCACTGCTCTTTATAGATGTAACCAGTGCAACACCCACTTGTACCGCTGCTGGTATACTGCACGAGAGACGACTTCAGCCTCATGATGCAACCGTTCTACAACAGTGTTGAACCTTGGGATTGTACGTGACCCCCGTGAACCTCCGTTGTCGTCGTCAGCAGCGACCCCCCCCCTCCATGAAATCCCTGAGCCCCCGTCGGGGTCTGGCCTCTTTCCTCACCCATGGTTGTCATGCATTCCCGTGGTCTCGTCTCCGCAGGGCGCCGGCGGGACACCTGTGTCTCAAGACCAACCTACCGTGGGTGGCGTTCGAAGAGCCTTCCACCGCGACTATTGGTGGGGATGAGGCGTCGGCAACAGGCGGGGGGGCTACAGGGGGTGCGGTGGGGGCATCGGGGACAACTCTTGCTCCTCCGGTCGGGGTCATCATGCCGGGTGAGGGCTGTGTGTGAGGTGTGGAAGGAGTGCCACTTGCAAGAATGCTTGTTGAACGACGACCCTGGGCGTTGTTGCTGTTGTCGTCATCGCTGTCGTTGTCGTCTGTTGTCTGTGTGGTTGTCGTTGTCGTTGTCGTTATCACCGTTGCTGCTTTCCTCGTCACGTCACACGCCGTGTTTTGGACGCTACCAAGCATCTCCTCCCTTTGGATGAATCAAGGTTAACAACAACGTTATTCATGTGGCCATCGGTTGTCAGCACATTGCAACGGCGTCCCTTTGACTTGGCTAAACTTTCGGCTTGTTTTCTTTTGTTTCTGCCATGCGTGGTGGCTTCTTCTATTCACAGGGCAAAGCGTTGCGCTCCCCCTCTGGGTGAGGGGAAGGGGCGGCGGGCGACAGACGGTCCGGATGATCGTCCGGTACAAGAGGGCTCCCCCTTCGTCATCGTCATCGCCATCATCAGCGGAAGGCGGTGGTGGGGAGCGGGACGGGGAATGGGGCGTGGTGTCCCCCAGCAGTGACAAGCTGTTCAGGTGCAAAGAGCCGCTGCAGTTGTCTTTTGTGTTCGTGGTTGCGGTTTTTTGTTGCGGCTGTTTTGGGTAAAAATACTGATGATTTTCGTTGATTGTGAACCGAACCGGTTTTAGTAGCATCAGGCAGCTGCTTTGTCCTAGACTTGCCTTCTATACGCTCCTTAACCCTCCTCGTCCCCCCCCCCCTCCCCCCCCCGGTGTTTGCCATCGGGGTTGGGTTTTCGTCGCTTGGCAACGACGTTGTAAAACAAGCCCCCCACTCGGTGTTTGCCATCGGGATCGGGTTTTCGTCGCTTGGCAACGACGTTGTAAAAGAAGCCAATTCACTTCGTGAACTCGGCAACCAGGTTACCGTTTTTTTTTTTACCTCGTTTTTTTTTTTTTGGCGGTAACCAAAATGGTGGTCGAGTAGATCATGTTGTGCGGGGTCGAGAACCCTCCACTCCCGCGCAACGGGGGATGATCGCACCACGTTGTGTTAAAATGGTCAAGCTTCCTCGAGGCAGTTACACAGTGCTTACAACTGTCTGTGGAAGTGAAAGCACCAGAAAATAAACTAAGTCATACGTAGCTGTCATCCGTACGCAAGGAAGTAAGCCAAGATGCCGAACACCCTTAGCAGGATGCAGCTCACCCTTCATGCGACTCGCCAAATACCTCACGGCGCTTCGCGCTTGGTGATGTGAGAGCCTGGTCCGGTGAGAACCCGGCGTGCTCCGTCCCGGCTTTGTAGGGATGCGAGGTCAATGGTCAAACGACTACGGCATGCACGACTATGAGTACACCCCCCCCCCCTCCCCCCCTCCCCTCCCTTCTCACAAACGTGACGCCGATTGACGGCGGCGACGGCGGCCAATGGCGCGCGACACCAAACACCAAATCACAGGTTAGAGCGCCACGCCCCCGTGTCCTTGGAGATGTGCGTGCTGCCGAGCCTGTCGGTCGCGGCTTCCGTCCTCCCGAGCTACTCTCGCCGGGGGGAATACGTGCTGTCCCTGGAAGCCACCAACTACCGCAGCAATGGGGACGAGGCGCAAGGGAACAGGCACCTCCGCATTCACAAGGTGGGGCGACGCAGGAGGTTTTGCCGCGGCAGCGCGGTTCGATACTGATGAGGTGGTTTGGGGCGCAAGACGCGGTAGACAGATAGGCTTGGTTTGGGGCGGGCTAGGAGACCTGGGTGGTGGTAGGGCTCGATTCCGGCAGACGCGGGGTGTGTATCTTACCCACGAGGAGTCGTAAAGTCGGCGCGTTGACGGCTCGCATGGGTTAGCCGATAGCCGTCGTGCCCTGTTTGGGGCTGTCGGTGTGCTTCACGACACATGCCACCCGAAACGTGTTCTCGCGACAGATCCCGTTATGCCTGCAGGCCCTCACGCTATTTTCAAGACCGATAACGTTTGAGTAGAAACCCGTGAGTGCTTTCGAGGACCACCAGCTTCGCACCGATTTTGTTTCGGGCACTAAGAACCCACCCTTTTCCCGTGCTTGCATCAGGTGTGTGCGATAAGCCGGTGCTGGAGAATGGAGCCCCTGGCAGGAGTTCCATCGAAGGAGGAAGGCGGTGTCGGCGCGGGGGCGGGTGGTTCGGACGAAGGCGGTACGATCGTGCATTGGCAGGAGAGGATCACGCTCCACTACCGACTCTTTCCGGTCGAGGGCGGCGATGGTAAGAAGCGGCGGTGTTGTTGTCGTTGTTTGTGTGGTGGTGGTGGCGAGCGTGTTGCTGTTGTTGTTATTGTTGTTGTTGTTGTTGTTGTTGTTGTTGTTGTTGTTGTTGTTGTTGTTGTTGTTGTTGTTGTTGTGGTCGACAAAAGGGTTGGGAGATACCCACAGGAGTCCTTTCATAAAGCGCACTCACCCCACCTTTCCTTTCCCCTGTGTCTGGCTTCACTGCCGATGATGCAACAAAAACGTGGGTCTGAACAGTAATCGATGGCGAAGAAGCCCCTTCGGTGCGGCATAACGACTGCACCTTGGGGGGCACCGGCACGACGACGGCTGATTGGCCTGGTAGCGAGGACTCCCCCCACCTCCCCCTCCTCTGTTTGGAGCAGGCGAGTTCTTCGAGATGTCGATTTTTTGTGTGTTCCAGTGTAACGAGATTGTTAGATATACATTCACGGCACCACATGCAGAACAAATGAGTGATGGTGCTTTGTGTTTTGCGCCAGCGTTTGCGTACCGGGGTCCGGCCGTCTGCCCACCGTGCGGAAACACGAGTGATTTGACATGTCTTCTTGGGCATGAGTTTTAGCTTGGACGCGAGAGGAAGAGGGTGGACACTCGTCTCCGGAGAAGTTGTTTTCGTGGTGTGAAACCGCTGTTTTTTTGTGTTTTTTCTGCCTGGACAACTTGCCGCCGTTTGCATTTTCAGGCGGCCAGCAACTACTACCAGGCGTGCCGCAAGCACCGGCAGCAGAAGTTGGCGGAGGAGGCTGCTGCCGCAGATGAACAGCCTAGAACTATCCAGGGGGTCCGGAAGGAGAGGGAGAGGGAGAAGTGAGTACCGAGCTCTGCGTGTGAGGCATGACGCAGAGTGGTGTTTCACATATTCATGGCAACTTGGTTGTATTGTTTGGGGGAGAGAGCTGTGGGAGGTTAGTGTTTTGGTTAGCCGAATGGTAGTGTTCGACGATCGAGGTCGTCCAAGAGGGCTGTTGCTTGTCCAGTTCTCGGTGGTGGTGGTGATAATCGAGCAGCTGATTCTTAGTGCGCCTGTCGCAAACATACCTCAGAAGCAGATGCCATCCAGAGGAGACATGTGGGTGTTGGTGCAAGTGATTTTCACGGACTTTCTGACTACGCACCCGAAGCTCCTTGTTGTAGACAAAATGCTCATGTTAAGCACCCCCGACATAAGCGTTTCCGATCACTGCCCGGTCAGGACGCAGCGACAAGACTGGCGAAACCTTTCCCCTTGTGTAAGTACCCTGAGATTGCTCCGATAATGTACGATTTGTGGTTTGTTGTTGAGACGACTGCGATCGCGTAGACAACAGTGCCCAACAGCATGAGGTCGTCGCGATCAACACCATTCCGAGCATCCGCCAATATCATCACCACTACCACCCCCGTCAACACCGCTATCTCCCTGCATGGTGAATTGTCTTCGTTCTTCGCTTCACCAACACGGTATGCATGACTTGACATGGCGTAATCAATACTCTTCATACGTTTCGTGACGTATGTATGTTTAGCGCTATCGAGGCTCTGAAGAAGGAGGAGGAAGACGAGGAGAGGAGGTGGCGCACGCAGAGGCGGGCACACCCGACGTCGCCGGACGCTCTCTGCGCTCCCGACGTGTCTCTCGTGCACCTCATGGTGGGTTGCTGCTGCTGCTGCTACAGTTGTAGTTGGTGTTTTGTTGGTGCTGTTGTTGTCGTTACCCCTCGCCTAAAATATGCATTCTGTTCTGACCTTTGTCCAACATGTCTTGTGCTCAATGCCATGCTCATAGCCAGAGGTACGACCTTCCGTGAGTTTGTTAGCAAGCAAAGTTGAAAGGACTCAGAGAAAGTCCAAGCAATCCCAAAAGAGTATCTAGAATCATGCCGACAAGAGTAAACAAAGAGCACGGTGAGTGCGGGCCCGAATTCTCACGAACGTGGCTCGGAAGTGGTTCACTGCTGTCACGCATCATCCCAGTCCCCGCAAGTGGATGACTGCGCTTGTACATTCTCTTCACGGCTTGCTTAGTGGCATGCCACGTGCGGGCGAGACATTGCGGCCTTTGCCGCCGGTCCTTCCGACCGCGTAGTTATATGTGTGTGGGTATTTTTTTATTAGCTCCGACCGCGCTAGTTGGCTGACCAATGAAAATACGGTAGTGTGTGGGTGTGCTTTCACAAACCTATTTTTGTATCCGGTGTTGTCGTTGTTTTCCAGGTCCTGTGGGGACTAGATGGGAGCGGAGACGCCCCTGCTCGCGTGGGGCAGCATCATGTCCGCAGTCTGGTCATTCGGCCGGAGAGAGTCGACAGGCAGTGCCCGCTGGTGCGTGCGCTTAGGGGAAAGGAGGCGTGTTTGCGTGTTTGCGTGGCTCAGTGATTCATACGCTCAGTTCCTACCAATGAGACGCTGAGTGTTTGCGGGTTTTGTTGCGCACAACCAGAAGAAATGAAGCTGCGCGTGCTAGACGACGCGCAACAGTGTACCATTCGTTTGTGGTTGGTGCGTTAGTTAGCGGGATTTCTTCGCGACACAACCGCTACCGTTCTGAACCTCGATTTTTATCCATCAGGCTTTGCCTGCCGTACTGCGGCTGGACTTGTCTATCGTATACCTGGTACTCCGTGTATGCTATCACCCGTCTTTCTAACGGAGTAACATGGGTCTTTGGTGGATCCTTTGGGTGCTTGCCCGCTCTTGCCTCTCATTGCAACCTCTGTCTGTGTTTGTGCTTGTCCGTTGCAGCACACGCACGCGCATGGGGAATGGGTCCAACTCTCTCTCTCTTTGTTGTTGCTTGCTCGTTGGTTTTGTTTCCTTCCTTCACCTACCGTTGTATTCACGTGGGACCTTTCGACTTTCTCACCCCGTCAGCAAGCGCATTGATTGCTGTTGAAGGTGCACTTCGCGCGTGCTGCTTTCGCTTTTTTTGCATCGCCGATAAAATCATGATTTTTTCTGTCCTGCAGGTGCTTACGGTCAAGTACCCTTCGGAAGTGACCTGGGACGGGAGTAGCCACGTTGGCGCAGGGGAGGAGGGTCCCCGCGGATGTGACGCGGAGGTGACGGTGTGCGCGACCAACCGGCTAGCGGGCCCCCGGGAGAACGCCAAGGTCAACTTCACCTTCGAGGTTAGTTGGGACGTTGGATCTTTCAAGGCCGGCAAGCGACTGGAGAGCGGGAGCGTACCGCCGATGGTTGATAGCAACGCCTTGCGTTTGCCTCTCTCTTGTTTTGGTTACCCCGCCATGTTGGTTCTTCTTGGGAGCCGTCATGTTGCAGTTCGATGTCATGTTAGCGGGGTTGTGGACGACGCTTGTGGCTACTGCTGTAGCGTGCTTAGTGGGATGTTCCTCCCCGTGGAGTGCATGCGTGCTGTCTTGTTGCTTGTATGCACACGAGTCATGCACTCCCCCGTACTCGTATTCCATCGTCCGCTTTGCTGTCGACATCACAAAGCATCCACCTACCCACCCACCCACACCTTGTTTGTCCCGCAGTTTCCCGTATTTAGCCCCCCCCGAGAACTTCGAACACACACCCGTCCACTCGATCTTAACCCCTACATATTTCACTCATCTAATGATAATGACCTCCCTACACCCTCCCCCTGTTCCGTGTGGTAGGTGCGCGCAGACGACGGTCCGAGGCGACTATCAACCGTTCCCGGTGCACCGCCCCCCCAGGCGTCCGGGGGGGGAGGCCAGGGAACCAGCAACAAGAGGCCACCACGCAACCGTTTCGTGTGGCTAGGGCCGACGAGGCGGAGGGTTGTCGGACTTGGGCCTGGGGAGGCGACGACGATACCGCTGAAGGTAACCAACCAGTTAACGAAACCGCGAGATTAGCAGCCGTCGTTCGTTTGGAGCGGTGTTGTGGACAGTATAGGCTGGCACTGCTGTGTTCTGCAAACGTGGTGCAAGTTCGCGTTCGACACGAACACATCCCAACCCACCGTGCCCCACCCACCCACTCGGAGACTTTTGACACGTGTACCCGATTTGATTTTTCTCTCCCCTTTTTTGTTTCTGATAGGTCCGGTTTCTGCGACCAGGAGTTTTCGACCTCAACCGCTTCCGCTTTGTGGTAGAGTTCGCGCCGGCCGCCGCCGCGTCTGGCAAAGGCAAGCCTGCCACTGCGTTGCCACCATCGATCCCGAACACACAACAGCAGCGAAGAGACTCGTCTTCGTCTCAGCAGGGCAGGGTGACGTTCGTGTTCCCAGCTCAGTACCTTGTTACTGTTGCGCCGTCGCCGCCGCTTCCGCGACCTTCATCGGCGGTCAAGACTAACAAAGCGTTGGTGGGGGCGGGAGGCGGCATGTCCCCTGGCTCGCCAGCTCTGGAGGAAATCCTCGTCGCATGATACACGGGGTTTCCTTGCTTACGCATGTTTCCTGAGATTCCTTGTGGCTATCGAAGCTAGAGAAGTCCGGCGTTCGAAGGTGCCCTTGCTTGCCAAATAATTTATGTGTTCGAGGAAGGTTTTCTTTTTTGTTGCCCTATCGACCCTGCACTCCCACTGTCGGCGTCACGTGTGTCCTCGACGCGTTGTTTTCTGGAGCACGTGAGAGAATTTCGTTGCAAATTTTCTTGTTTCTGTTTTTTGATGTTGCAGCAGTGATTCGGTGCTGTTGCCGTATGCTTGCTGTCCTTCCCGTCTCTTGGTAGGTGGATGCGAAGAACTAGGTTCTCTTAGGCATGTTTGATTTCCGTTACATTTGTTTTTATATCAAGCGGCGTCTTGCGCTGGCAGTTTCTCTCACTGCAATGGGAGAATTCACGTATTGTTTCCTGATGTACATGTTTCTGATCGCACAAATGTAGCTAACCCTCGCCCTAACTAACTCGCCGAGGTGGTGCTGGAGTTGACTGCGTGAAGTCCTTTTCAACCGAAGTCAGAAGGCAGTGCGCTGTGTCGATAGCTAGCCCTAGCTTGCGTTGTCGTGAACCTGGACGCTGATACTGCTGCCTTATTTTCTGGAGGTTGATACTGCTGCCTTCTTTTCTTGCCTCGAACTCTTGGGTCACGCACCATTGCTGCCTACGCCTTCCACGAGACGGTGCGTATTATTGTTCAGTTGATATGGGAGTCGTTGTCTCTCCGGGACTTGTCTTGGGTTTCATTGTTTTCGAGACGGCGTGAGTCTCTGATCTTCCGGGGTAGGATGTGTAGGGCTGAGGCCAGATACGTCTGCCTACGCATTTCGTTTGGAGTGAGAATGATATGATGTTCACAGGTGATGTGACAATGGAGGGGAGGCTTGCTGCGCCGCCGTTGACAACGATCGCACGGTCTCCAACGCAATCGAATGGATGCACCGGCGTTCAGCGGTGGGTTCGAAATGACGTGAGGGGTTTAGACCGTTCTCTTTGCCGCTCACCAGCTGGACTAAGGGGTTTCGATTGGTCTTGATGGCATATACGACCCAACCATGGGATATTCGTCAGTCTTGGGCGGGAACTTTCGCAATGAACGGAACCACGGAACCCAGTACCCACTGCTAGAACTTTATGTAGAACAAAATCAGCATTCGCCAAGGTACCCTGTGCTTGACTGTTGTTGTTTCCCGGACGGCCAGGCATCATGGCTGTGCGCAAGCGCCAAGCTCTCGCCGGAACCAAAAGACGAGTGTCTAAGCAGGGGTATGTGATTTATGTTCGAAGATAATCTGCGCTGCTAAACCTGCATCAAGTCTTCCGCTTGGTCATAGACGTGCATTCGACACGTACGTGAAGACAACATCATCACAAGCCCCTTTAAAGTTTCCTCGAAGTATGTCAAGACGCAAACCTCAGTTCGCCCTTTGTATCTACTCTGCCCTACTGACAACAGCACCTGGAGATGGTCATGTCTAGGCTTAGTAGTCGACCCTTTTCGCTTGTAGGCCAGCGAAAATAATAGGGAAATAGACACAAGTGGGTATACCCACCCCTTTCTCGGACTAAAGTGGGTACTCGAAAATCCAGCGCGCGCGCACTCCATAGGCGACCCCCAAACGACTCAAAACCCCATTCTGACACCTGGGAGACTGACACAGTAAGGGACCATACACAGCACGGGCATCGTTTTTTTCCCACTTTTAGGCACACCTTTGGCCCTAATACCGCCGACGCGCACAAGGCCTCACCAGAGTGCCCACTTATGTCCGACATCGCGGTGGGTATACCCACCGGCGTCAACTAATTTTTTCATGTACCCACTTGTGTCTGTATTTTGACCCACTTTTGTCCAAATTGTACCCACTTTTGTCCACTTACGGACGGCGGAAATCGAGCGGAAATCGACCTCCACGTCACCGCACGGCAGAACATCGAATAGCCTCGGAAAGTCTCAGAACCTCCCAACACCGTATCCATGGCATCTTTCCTATCCATGATTGCCGACTGCGGACCGACCACGGAGGAACATGTCAGAAACATGCCAGACCCCTTCGGTACCGGCACGGGAAGATACCAGGCACGGGAAGATGCCCGCGGCAAGCCCGGCAAGCAGCGCACTATCGGCACGCCACAAATAAATGCGTGACACACAACGGACAACACAACCAAACGGGTCGCGCATACAGAACAAAAAGACGCGCAAACAGCAACAACACACACACAAAAATACCAACCACCACGACGAGTGCACACCGACTCGTCACGGCAACAACAGTAGGCTTGCCGCGGGTATCTTCCCGTGCCTGGTATCTTCCCCTGCCGGTACCGAAGGGGTCTGGCATGTTTCTGACATGTTCCTCCGTGGTCGGTCCGCAGTCGGCAGCCATGGATAGGAAAGATGCCATGGATACGGTGTTGGGAGGTTCTGAGACGTTCCGAGGCTATTCGATGTTCTGCCGTGCGGTGACGTGGAGGTCGATTTCCGCTCGATTTCCGCCGTCCGTAAGTGGACAAAAGTGGGTACAATTTGGACAAAAGTGGGTCAAAATACAGACACAAGTGGGTACATGAAAAAATTAGTTGACGCCGGTGGGTATACCCACCGCGATGTCGGACATAAGTGGGCACTCTGGTGAGGCCTTGTGCGCGTCGGCGGTATTAGGGCCAAAGGTGTGCCTAAAAGTGGGAAAAAAACGATGCCCGTGCTGTGTATGGTCCCTTACTGTGTCAGCCAGGTGTCAGAATGGGGTTTTGAGTCGTTTGGGGGTCGCCTACGGAGTGCGCGCGCGCTGGATTTTCGAGTACCCACTTTAGTCCGAGAAAGGGGTGGGTATACCCACTTGTGTCTATTTCCCTTCTTTTTTCTTCCATTCCCAGTAATTGGACTTGACTCACCCTGCAATGAGATGAGCGGCCGCCGGTGAAGCTACATGTGATCGCCTTGTCGACTGCGGAATACCGTTCCTCAGCGTCGGTTCCGTTCGCGACACCCCCGATGTCGGCGCGCCCCCCCGAAGCGCTCATTACCATCATCGTCGCCACGGCCAGGGCTGCGAGCAAGCAACGGGGGGGGGGGAGGCTTGGGGGACATGGTGGTATTATTGATGGAGGGTTGGCTTTTTATTACGACGGCGATGTGCCTTCCTTTTGATGATGATCCCGGTGGCACGGTAGGTGGGTGTTGTGCGTGAGAGAAAACAAGGTGGAGGAAGCGAGGGTGCCTACCGAAAATGAAGAGAAAAATCGGGTAAGCAGGAGTACGAGCGCGATAATAGAGGAAGGGAGTACATAAGATGATCAAAGACTGTTTTGGCGTGTTGTTGATAGACTGTATGAAGTAATCGGTTTGGAGTGAATGCGTGGCATCGTCACTCGCTTCGCACGCAGGCAGTATACGGTCAGAGTGCCGTGTGACTCCCTCCGCTCGAAGCCACTTCACCTGGTTTCGGGCGTGCTGTGCGGTCATACATAGTGCCGTGTGACTCGCTTCGCTCGAAGGCACTTCACCTGGTTTCGGGCGTGCTGTGCGGTCATACATAGTGCCGTGTGACTCGCTTCGCTCTTAAAATACGGGGAGCACAAGAAGAGGGAGAGGGGATGAAGAACGGTTTACTCTGCCGGGTTTGGCATACGCCCGGATACTGTCGTTGGGACAGCGAACAAGCGGCATGCTTCGCGTACGTTCCGGATGGAATGGGATGCAAGGGGAGCACCAAGTATAACCCGCGATAGAAGTAGCACGCAACCAAACGCTGTATGTATGTTTGTTCTCGACAGCTCCTACTACAGCTATCAATCCATCCATCCATGTGCACAATACAAGTGAAAGTGAGCATTAAAAATACAAGATAAACAATTCGTAGACTATCCGATGACGAAACCTATGCGTATTACTCGACAGCCTCTACAGTCAGTCACAGACAGTAGTCTCACACGTAAACATTTTTTATTAGAAAGCACACATAAAAACACAGGGAGGACTACGTAGCCGTTCGAGAGAATACCCCTCATACCTGCCCGCTTCCTAGTTGCGTGATCTCTCCGCTTGTGTTGTGCCCCGATCAATTCATCATTTTTTTTCTATCCCGCAGATGCTTACAATAAAGTACCCTTCGGAAGTGACCTGGGACGGGGGTGGCCACGGTGGCGCGGGGGAAGAGGGTCCCCGCGAATGTGACGCGGAGGTGACGGTGTGCGCGACCAATGGCTAGCGGGGCCCCGGGAGAACGCCAAGCAAGGTCAACTTCACCTTCGAGGTTAGTTGGGACGTTACTTCTCTCCAGGCCGGCAAGAGACAGGAGAGCAGGAACGTACCGACCTCGGTCGATAACAACGCCTGCGTTGTTGGTCTCTTTCTTGTGGTCACCCGGTCATATTGGCTTTTGTGAGGAACCGTCATGTTGCAATTCCATGTGAGGGACCCTCCGTGTGGAAAACATTGAAGGCCCCGCCCCCCCTCCCCCGGACCATTGACACTTGCTTCCGCTTGTTCATGGACATGCATTCGACACGTGATGATATACTTCAATGAAGACAACATCACAAGCCACCTTATTTCCTCGAAAGTATGTTGTCAAAAAACCCATTGTTGACCCCCATCTACTATGCCCTACTGGACAACAATTTCGGAGCTGTCCATCATGTCTACGCTCACAGTAGTCGTCGACCCTTTCGCTCTTACGCCAGCGAAAATAGATATCCTCGAAATTGTCGAAATGATACAAACAAACACCGTGTTTACCTTACTGAGCTGTAAGAGTCCCGCAACGATATCGTATGCAACGCAGTTGAGGCCAAACGCGACCAGAATGCCATGAAAAGCACCTCGCCACTCGAATGACAAACACGACGGCATCAAGGATCGTCAAATACCCCCCCTACAACTAACTAAGTGGTACGTGAGTCGTCGCCTAAAAGTGAGCCTTATGCGTTATGCATCATGTGTCGTATAATAGTACTGTACTGGAAAGCTATGTACGTAATTACGTAATACGTGAGCAACAAGGCAAAACAAGCGCTAAAATATCAATCGTCCCTGCGTCGCCTCGTGCCCGAGCTCCGCCTGCTTGTCCAACCTCGCCTTATTTGGCCGAGTCACCGTCAAATCCTCCCGTTCTTCGGGCGGTGCGCGGTGTTGGCGGCCTTGCAGGCAATGTCTTCGTTGGTTTTGTTTGGCGATCATAGCGAGTTGATGAAGTTTGTTTGTTGTTGTCCGTGATTAGTGGTCGTAATCACGTGGCGGGGAAGGAAATGGTGGCGTATGACGGCCTCGTTGTTGTTGGAACCGTTCGCCCTGGGTTGGCCACACAGAAGGCTACGTGTGTAGAACACACGCACTAAGCGGGGGAATGGAGGGGGGCAACAAGCCATTAAGCAGATGCGAAGTCATCAATCTTGAGCGAATGCGTAGCGCTTCTTCACCCAACCGTTGCTCACAGACAACAACAGACTTGATCGAACAAAAAAAATGGCCAAGCAAAAGCAACGACAACGTTGCCCGCAACGACAACGTACCCGCAACGCCGACGACACCAGCCACCGCCCGAAGACCGGGAGGCTTCGACGCTGGCTTGGAAAAAAACGGCTCGCCATACATGGAACCGCTAGTATGGCTCGCCATACCTTCGCCAGCCACCTTCGAATCCTCCCGTTTTTCAGGTGGTGGCTGTTGTCGTAGGCCTTGCTCTCAATGTCGTCGCTGCGTTTCGCCTTGTGGTTTTCAGCGGGTCTTGTTATTCGTGAGCATGGTCGTGAAACATGTGGCGGGAAAGGAAAAGGGTGGTGTATGATGGCCTCGTTGTTGTTGGATTCGTTCGCCTTGGGCTGACCACACAGCAAGCTAGGTAGAACACACGCACT